GTCCATTTTATTTGTGTCAGCAGGAACTTCTTGTCTTTTTTTTTTTTTCTCTCAGTTTAGGTTTATTTGGAAGGGATTAATTTTCGAGGGAAATAATGGTTTTGCTGGGAATTATGTGCAATTCTGAAAATGGATTTGGAGATTTTTCTAGATTTTGTTTCTGGGGGAGTGATTAATTTTGAGAGCAGAATTGGTTATGCGTGGTGTTCTATGCAATTCTGAAATCGGGTCTGAGAATTTTGAATTTTCTTGTTTTTGCCTCTGGGTTTGAGGTTTTGTGTTCTTTGGAGTTGATTTGTTTGGGGTTTATTAGGGTACAGCTGCGACAAAGGTCAAAATGGCGCAGAAAGTAGCTCAGGGGGTTGCTGAGAAAAGAAGAGGAAGAAGGGGTCCGGGCAGTGTTATTGGATCCAGTGCTGCTGGTTGCATTTGTGCTTTCCTCACAATTTTTGGTGTTGGGGGAGAGGCATTTTCTCGGCTTTGGAGACTAGGGTTTGTTGCCAGTTTCTGTACCAAGTTGAGTGACACAGTCTCAAGTGAGATCGGGAAGGCATATGGAAAAATAACGTGAGTAGTTTACTCTGGTGTGTATATTGGTTGTATTATGTTGTTATCAATATCTTTTTATGAAGAATTGTCATGATTATTTTATTTGTTAGGTTCTTTAGAATCCAATCTCAAGGTTTTAAATTGCGGTTTTGTTAGAATCATTGGTATTGTGGAAAATTGTGGATTAATGTGGCTGATAGGGCTACAATTTTGGTCATGATGATGCAGTAGAGACCCCAAAAACCTTGGTGTTGTGGCCAGAATGGTGGTTGTGAACTGTTTTTTAAAAATTTGGCACCAGTGTCCCCCCTACTGTAATATTATTTCCGTTCCTTGAACAGGTGGAAGCCCTTCAAGAATTCTTAATTCTGTGATGCAGAACTTCTTTAAGCTATTTTGTAATTTCTGTTAATAAGCTTTCCAAATGGAAATCAAGGGATACTATGGTAGTCAATAGCGTGATATAACCTAGTAATGGAGCAGCACTGGACTACTTTGGAATTCAAATAGTGGCCATCGCGGGCTATAGTAATGCAATCATTATTTAGGCTTCAAAAACCAATTTTTACCTTCGATGCATCATTGTTTTTTTCTTTTTGGTAAAACATTGCTTCACACTTCACACTATTTTTCCCCTATATTCTTTTCTTTCTTCTTCCTTTAAACTTCCTATTTCATATTCTGCTAATTTTTATCTAACTTATTAATTTTCTTTTCTATTAATTTCAGTCATCTTTCATTTTTTTGACTTCATTACTATGTTCTTATTGCTCCTAGATTGATGGTGATTGTGTGTAAAGTGTGAATTATTTTTTATCATGAGTTTCTTTAATTTTTGGTTATTTTCTTTTTTTGAGTGTTCATGTGTAGAATAAACTATTTTGTTTGTATTGTAATATTTAAAATATCATCCTGCTTCCCACTATAGCAAATTTAGAGTTGGTTGTTATGCGCCCCAGTTGTCTGATTGATAACTATGGAGCATGGATTGGACTGATCCATTACCATATGAATTCTATGCATTACATGGCTTTGTATAATATTTTGTTCGTTTTACTTGATTGGCAATATTATTTTTTGTCTGAATTTATTAAAGCAGTTACTCGTTAATTCTGAATTATGGTAATCATGGCAACTTGAGATCTATGCTCTTCC